CCCACCCCCAAACACCAAGAAGACAGAGCATCACTTGCCCCAGAGCCCCTATCTATACCTTGTGGCTAATAGCCACTGATGGACCTCTGCTCCCTATGCATATCTAACTCCCTTTTGAAGCTGTCCATGCTTGTAGCCGCCACCACTTCCTGTGGCAGGGAATTCCAAGTGTTAATCACTCTTTGGGGTGAAGAAGTACTTCCTTTTTATCCGTTCTAACCCGACCGCTCAGCAATTTCATGGAGTGCCCACGAGTTCTTGTATTGTGAGAAAGGGAGAAAAGTACCTCTTTCTCTACCTGCTCTTTCATGGTAACAATCAGATGAATCAATTACTTTGAGTTCTTCTTGAGGGGATACTGAGGGGAAAACATTGCATTGTGAATTGTCCCCCATGTCAATATGAACCACGGTTCATAAAAGCAATCCCTCCCCCCTGCATTGCCCCTTTAGGATCTAGACAACCATAAAGAAACACCGTGATAGAACAAAACACACTTCTACTAATATGTACTTGTATATTCATATATTGATTTACTTGCAGTAAAGACTCTAGTATATCTCATACACATACAAAAAGCCTAAAGTACATTGTATCTACTAATAGAACCAGAGAAGCCTTCTTTAGAATGCTTGACTTATGCACAGTAAAATTGAGGGCTTTGGTTGCAGGAAAATATGTCTGCCTGAAGAAGAATTTGTCGAAACACACAATTTTTGCCTAGGAAGCATGTTGCTTGCTTTGATGCTTGCTGAAACACTTAGTGTGGAAAATACAACTGCCTGCTGCATTTCTCATGCCTGCTGAATTACTCTTTGAGGAGAATATAACAGCCTGCTGCATCTTTCATCATTTATGACTGCTGCAACTTTCATCAGTCCTTTATCAGGAGCAAGATAGTCTACAGCGTTGGAATAGGTCTTTGTAGCTGTGGACTGTTCTATCACGGTGTTTCTTTATGGTTGTCTAACTTTGCCGTGTTCCTTGTGTGTTTGTAGCTATTCCTTTAGGATATAGGCCTGAAGTCCTAAACACTTTTATTAGGGGCTAGCTCCCAGAGAACACAGCAGCCAGTGCTTACTCCTAAGTAAACATGCAAAAGTTTGCTTCTGAGTAAATATGAAATAGGTACAAAAATGTACAGCTCAGCAAGTAGGGACTTGCTCCTAATGAATGTGTTTTAAGGTAGCTGAAGCTTTTCTATGCAGGGACTAACGACATCCTTTCACTAACAAAAAATAAGAAATGCAAAGCTTTTTTATAATGGAAAGAAAAGAAAATGCTGTCTGGAAACCCATAGTGAGCACGGATGGATTTAAAGGGGATTACTGTAATGCTGAAACAATTGCCAACCCCCCAAAAAGCGCTGTAGTTGACTTTTTTTTATCTCTTGCAAAGATGTTTCATCAAAGCAAATACATTTATGAAGGAGGACGATTTTTAAAATAGTTTGTTTTTTAAAAAAACTTGATTGCCTCCGGCAGCAAATGAACAGGATCCATGCAGTATTTCACCTGTAGAACAGGAAAGTTGCTGGAGGTCAAGGGTCATTTGAAACCCCTGGGAAAACTTTCTATACTGTCTGAGGTGCTTGTGGGCAGTGTTCCCTCTAAGCCGAGTTAGTGTGAGCTAGCTCACAGTTTTTTAGCTTCCGGCTCACACATTTTTGTCTTCGCTCAGGAAGGACAGCTCCCGAGCAAACTAATTTATGCAGTAGCCAAATCGCTCGCTCACAACTTTAAGGCCAGTAGCTCACAAAGTAGAATTTTTGCTCACAGGACTCCACAGCTTAGAGGGAACATTGCTTGTGGGACTGATAGTTGGGGGCAGAGATAGATTCCATTCTGCATTCCAGAAAATATGGGGGGGGGGGGGAACAGATCTAGGAAGAAGGTTAACCAACATCTGTGGTTTTGCTTCCTTGCCAGTTTGCTTAAATGCAAGAGCATCACTCTCTCATTTCCCAGCTTCCAAGCTTGCATCAAACTGGGTTTGCAAGCAGCTTCCCCCCCACCCCAAATCACAACCCATGCACAAAAGTCTAATCCTCTCATCCATTCTTGCAGTCAGCGATTATCCTTTGTTCCTTTCTGTACTGCTGCTAATTTCCCCTAGCTCAGTTGCCCTGACCTGGACGGCCGCTGTATGACACAGAGTGTTGGACTGGATGGGCCATTGGCCTGATCCAACATCGGCTTCTCTGATGTTCTTATAAGAAGGAACTGGGTAAACATCTGGAGCAGAGGTCCCTCAGTGGCTCTTAGCCACAAGGTATAGATAGGAACTCTCCGTCTGGGGCAAGGGATGCTCTGTATCCTTGGTGCTTGGGGGGGGGGGCAACAGTGGAAGGGCTTCTAGTGTCCTGGCCCCACTGTGGGACCTCCTGATGGCACCTGGTATTTTTGACCGCTGTATGACACAGAGTGTTGGACTGGATGGGCCATTGGCCTGATCCAACATTGGCTTCTCTGATATTCTTATAAGACGGAATTGGATAAGCATCTGAAGCAGAGGTCCATCAGTGGCTATTAGCCACAAGGTATAGATAGGAACTCACAGGCTGGGGCAAGGGATGCTCTGTCTTCTTGGTGCTTGGGGGGGGGCAACAGTGGAAGGGCTTCTAGTGTCCTGGCCCCACTGGTGGACCTCCTGATGGCACCTGGTATTTTTGGCCACAGTGTGACAGAGTGTTGGACTGGATGGGCCATTGGCCTGATCCAACATTGGCTTCTCTTATGTTCTTATGTTCTCATATGCTCTTGGTGCTTCTGATAGAAGGTTGTTACCTGATCAAAGTTTAACCGACTGTTGCTCAGGTCATTATTGCTCTGTGACTTTTTTGTTTTCTCCCCAGCTGGGTGGAATGTGTGGCTCAGATATTATGAAGAATGTTTTGGGAAGATATCAACACTGAGATCTGGTCATGGTTCTCAAGGACTCACGCTTAAGGCCTACCTGCACATGAGGTTTGATCTAACCTGCACCCAGTTCCTGCAGTCAAAACACAGGGGCAGGTGGCATCTTTTGATAACCATTAACATCAAGGAATGATTTGCACGCGCCGCATTGGTTTTTATATCGCCGCACTGAACAATGCTTTTTAGCAACCAGTCACCAAGTATGAGGGGGAGAGGAACAAAGGTGGGAGAAACATGAAAGATATTTCTAAAATCATCCATGTTATAGGAAAAGTGGGAAAAGAAAATGTTTCCTCCTCCCAAAACACTACAATCCACAGTAATCTGATTGGCAGTAACTTCAGAAACAGAGATGTGGAGGGCACATTGCATGCATTTTTCACTTCCAGAAAAACCCAGGTGTGACTTCTGGTAGCTCAAGAAATTGCCAGAAACTCTATGGTAAAACCAGCAATTCCTAACTTCTGCGTTTTACCTTGAAGTGATGTCATGGCATATATACCACTGACTTTTTTTTTTAAATTCTCCTCCAAGCAGAGCAGCAGCGGGCAACACAGGTGCCAGCATGGGAGGAGACTTGGCAAGTCCAGATGGGCAGTAGATACGAGACTTATGGAAGTATGTACTTCTTCACACTGCATATAACTATTTGTGGAACTCACTGCCACAAGGTGTGCAATGAGTTTACATGTTTTTTTTTTAATGGATCAAACCACTTCCTGAAGACTAGGTCTATTGATGGCTATTAGCCATTGATTATTGAATGGGACCTTCTTTCCTGAAGCCCAGTGCCCCAGTTGTTTGGGCCCCTCCATAGGGTTTTGCCTCTTTGTACCTGCTATGAGACTACCACAGGAGGTGGCGGCAGCTAGAAGCATGGACAGCTTCAAGAAGGGATTGCATAATCATATGGAGCAGAGGTCCAGCAGTGGCTATTAGCCACAAGGTATAGATAGGAACTCTCAGTCTGGGGCAAGTGATGCTCTGTATTCTTGGTGCTTGGGGAGGGGGGGCAATAGTGGGAGGGCTTCTAATGTCCTGACCCCACTGGTGGACCTCCTGATGGCACCTGGTATTTCTGGCCACTGTGTGACACAGAGTGTTGGACTGGATGGGCCATTGGCCTGATCCAACATTGGCTTCTTGTATGTTGTTATATGCAGCAGAGGTCCATCAGTGGCTATTAGCCACAAGGTATGGACTGCAAGAAGATCAAATCAGTCGATCCTAAAAGAAATCAACCCTGACTGTTCCCTGGAAGGCCAGATAGTGAAACTGAAGCTCAAATACTTTGGCCACCAAATGAGAAGGGAGCCCTCACTGGAGAAGACCCTGATGCTGGGAAAGATTGAAGGTCAAAGAAGACGGGGACGGCAAAGGATGAGATGGTTAGACAGTGTCATAGATGCAATGAACATGAAATTGAGCAGCCAACTTCAGAGGACGGCGGAAGACAGGAAGGCCTGGCGGGATCTGGTCCATGGGGTCGCGAAGAGTCGGACTCAACTGTGCGACCGAACAGCAACAAAAATAAATAAAAACTCTCAGTCTGGGGCAAGGGATGCTCTGTATTCTTGATGCTTGGGGGGGGGGCAACAGTGGGAAGGCTTCTAGTGTCCCCGGCCCCACTGATGGACCTCCTGATGGCACCTGGTATTTTTGGCCCCTGTGTGGCAGAATGTTGGACTGGATGGGCCATTGGCCTGATCCAACATTGGCTTCCCTTATGTTCTCTTATGTTCTTGTGTTACCGGGGTATCTGCTGAGCCCCTGTGGGAAACAGGAAGCTGGACCACTGGACTGATCCAGCAGAGCTCCTCTTAAATGTAATCATGAGTGGATGAAGCAAGAGGCATACACACACGTGGGTGAACGGGGCTGGAGATATGCACTCAGTTCAGGGAATACTGGGTTTCCCTTATCGCCAATGTGTAAGAACTGCCCACAATCACAATCGCAATGGAACAGCGACTCACCCTGTCTTCTTCGGCCCGCAGATCCGGCATTGTGCTGACACAAAGGCTTATCGCCGTGGTGGCCACAAAGAGGACAGAGAGGCAGGCAAAGACTTTCCCCGGAAGACCCGACCGCGGGTTTTCGACCATATCCCTGAGCTTGTTCATGAATTGCCCGAACCGGGTCTCCTCCTCCTCCTCCAGGACACAGGTGGTATCTGTGGCCTGATCCATTTCCTCCTCTTTGCGCACCTCCGCAAACTCCTCGAGCTTCTGGAAGAGCTTTCGGAAGCAGCAGTTCTCCAAGTTGGACTCCTCGATCCCCCAGTACCTCAGCTCCTCCAGGAAAGACAAGGCACAGGTGTCTCGAAAGAGCATCAACTTCCCCGCCGCCAGGAAGCTGAGGATCATCCCAAAAGCGCCGGGGTTCCTGTCGAAGAAGAATTCTTGGGTGTCTTCGTCGTAGTCGTCACACAACTGGGTGATTTCCTCGTAGCTGCTGCAGAACTTGAGCTTGCTCAGCCGGGACGCCGGGAACTCATCCAGGGTGCTCCAAGGGAGGAGGTACTTGACGCCCCCAACGTTGATCATGACCTCCTTCTTCGGATCAACCTTCTGGGCCTGATCTGGGTGGCAAATCCGGCGGGCCCTTTGGTAGTGGACCCCTTTGGCTGGGGGCGCCTCGACTGCCGAGATGGGGAAAAGGTGGGTCAGGGAGCTGCAGGAGTTGTAGCTGTAGTCGAGGTCGCTGCCCCCGGAGAGGATCGGCATCGCTGAGGGTCGTCACCGGGGCTCCCGAAGCAGCATCAGAGCAGAGCTAGCTGGGGGAGATGGTAGCATTGGGGGGGGGGGGGGAAGGTAAAGAATCGAGAAGATTGTTTAATGACAAATGAGAGCATCCATCACATGAACACATGTAGTGGTTAAAGGGTTGGACTGGAAGCTGGGAAACCCAGGTTGGAATCCCCCACTCTGCCTTGGAAGCTTGCTGGGTGATGTTGGGCCAGTTATGCACTCTCAGCCCAGTCTACTTCACAGGGTTGTTGTGATTAAGATGAAATGGAGGAGAGGAGGAGAGGGGGAGGATGGAGATTGGATAAATACAGAACACTGTAAGCTGTTTTTGGGTCCCCGCTGGGGAGAAGAGGAGGAGGAGGAGGAGATTGGATGTATACCCCGCCCTTCACTACCCGAAGTTGTCTCAGAGCGGCTTACAATCTCCTTTCCCTTCTCCTCCCCACAACAGACACCCTGTGAGGTCGGTGGGGCAGAGAGTGCTCTGACGGAAACTGTCCTTGAGAGAAAAGCTCTGACAGAACTTGTGACTGACCCAGGGTCACACCAGCAGCTGCAAGTGGAGGCGTGGGGAATCAAACCCGGTTCTCCCAGATTAGAGTCCGCACTCCTAACCACTACACCAAACTGGCAGGATGCAAACACAGTAAACAAATGCATAAATCTGAAGCTGCCTTATACTTAATCAGACCATCAGTCCACAAAGGTCTACTCAGACCGGCAGCTGCTCTCCAGGGTCTCAGGCAGAGGTCTTTCTCATCACCTGCTACTTGATCTTTTTAACGGGAGATGCCAGGGATTGAACCTGCGACCTTCTGCACACCGAGGAAATGCTCTTCCCCTGAGCCACAACCCCTCCGAATGCATATGAAGCTCCCTCAAACTGAACCAGACCCTTGTTCCATTAAAGTCAGTATTCTCTACTCAGACTGTCTGTGGCTGTCCAGGGTCTCAGGCAGAGGTAATGTCACTTACTGCTTGGTCCTCTCAACTGGAGATGCCAGGGATTGAACCTGGGACCTTCTGGATGCCAAACGGAGGCTCTGCCACTGAGCCAGAGCCCCTCCCCATCAATCCAGACCTCTGCAAAAGTCTCTTTGTCTATGGCCTGCCTCGGCTGTTTCTGCAGCCGGTGGGTAGCCCCTAGATCTGAAACACACATCTCCTCCTGCGACAAGTTGGTATTTAGCCTTTATCTTTCCTTGTGTATCTGTGTCGTTGCCCTGCATCATCTTTGAGGAAGCTGCTATATAATGAACCAAGACGCTGCAATAAGAAAAGCCCTGCTGGATCAAGCGGAAGAGCTCCTCCTCCATTCTTCCTACAGCAGGGGTTTGACAAAAGGGCGCAGCAGAAAAGGAGATGCTTGCCCTTTGCTATGAGTCCAGGGGCACCTTTAAGACCAACAAAGTTTAATTCTGGGTGTAAGCTTTTGTGTCCCTATACACTTCTTCAGATACATGCACACGAAAGCTTATACCTGGATTTAAACTTTGTTGGTCTTGAAGGTGCCGCCGGACTCAAACTTTGTTCTGTTGCTTCAGACCAACACGACTCCCCACCGGAATCTACCCTTTGCTATCTTACCAAGAGGTATACTGCCCTTGAACACGGAGGCTCCATTTGATTCATCAGCATCGCTAGCTCTATCCCCTGTGAACTATCTAATCCATATCTTGTTTTGAAGTTATCGCAGGCTAGAGACCTTCACCACATCCTGCAGTAGCTAATTCCATAAATCAACGGTATTATAGAGGACGGACTTTCCTTTGCCTGTCCTGACACTGCTGCAAATCAACTGCAGGTTAGATGGGGAAGGCAGGTTCCCCGGAGTCTCTTTGGGATTAATTAGCGCTTTGAATGGTTTTGCCTCTCTGCTGGGAACAGCCTGGAGTCCTTCCTCAGACAAACGTTATAAATCCGCTGTTTTTATTAGAAGAAATTCACATTTTTTTCCCATTCTTCGAATATTATTTTTTTATTGGGGGGGGGATACAGCAACACAGTTCAAACGATCAATAAGCAGTCGAGTCCAAATGAGGGATCGCAAGGAGTCTCAAAGTACTATCGTCTGCACTATTACACGACCCATTTCCTATCTTTTCCCTTTTTTCATCCACGGGTTCGAGAGCAGCTAAGAATCAACGGCACTAAAAGTTCCAAAATTTCAAAGCTCCTTGAATATCAAGGAGGCTGATGAAGTGCAGGGTGGTTAAAGCAAGCATGCCATCTTCCAACACTTGTACAGGCTGGTTCCTGATAATAATAAATTATTCTCAATAATAAAATAAGAACACATAATTATTAATTAATATTAATAAATTATTATTAATTAATATTAATAAAGTACTATTAATTAATATTAATAATGTAAACAATCAGAATGTTGATTCATTAAAATTAACACATAAATATATATGAAATATCGAAATAGTAGAATATTTCTCCCCCATTTTTGGATCTCAGGATCCTCAAAGTGAGTGACGCACTGTGACAGAAATCCATGGAAAGCCGATCGCAAATAATCAATAACAGGTTTCGGGGGGAAACCACTAGACGGGGGAAACCCATTAACCCTGCTTCCCATTAATAGAAATAGGCTTTCCGCAAATGGTTCCGCAGACTTCGTCTCCGTAACCCTTTT